CAAGAGCTCTCCCTCAATTTCTCTTGCTTTCTCCTACTCTTGCTTGCCCATTGCCTTTGCATGCATGGGTATTTATAGTGAAAAATCCAACTACCAATGCACCATTTTTCTTTGCCTCATTACCACCCGGCCAAGATTTTCTTTGCCCATTAAATGAGTCAACATGCAATCTTTGAAAGATTTCAACAAATCAATCTAGCCCACAATTGGCTTATAGGCCGGTGAAGCAAACTTCCACATGGAAAGTCCATGTCTTCACATGTATGGGGTTGGACTTTCTTCCAACACCTCAAACATAGAGACAACAATAAAACCCCGCCATATAACGAGGAAATGAAATCATATACAGTATCTATCTTTCCCTTTCACTTGAATTCGTATGTGTTAAATTATAAGAAAATGATTGGTACACTATTAGTTCAATATATTTTTTGATATATTTTTTATTTAATCATTAAAAATATAATATAAATATAATCATTAAAAATATAATATAAATACAATCAATTCAATTGATTTTCGTATTTTATATGCATAATTATATCATTAAATTTACTTGTCTTTAATTTCAAATTAAACAATAATGATTTTTTAATGAGTATATCATGCAATGTATTGAATCAAAATGTATATCAATCATTATTTTAAATTATATGGCAGCATTGCTTTTAATAACATTTCCAATTATAATTGAGACTTGTTATACGTTCAACTTATTATAAATAACAATTGCACGAAAATCATTTTTAGCTTTAAGAGTGGATTCGTTTGTCCTTTTTAAATACCTTTAGATTTAGGGACAGATCTTGACAAAAACGTTGGAGGGGGGCCAACAAATTTTTTTTTTTAGCATTTGTAAATTTGTTTTTTATTAAAAATTTGTTACAAATTAGTTTTTTTTTTTAATTCCAAGATAAACAAGTATTTTTTTTCTTTAACCATATTTTTATTTTTAAGTATAATTCTCAATCATATTTTTAAGTATAATTCTCAATCATATTTTTAAGTATATCCTGTATTCTAAATTATTAAATTACTCTTTACTGAGTTTCAAAGTATGTGTGAGTTAATCTAAAATCACTTTGATTATTAAATCCAAGAAATAAAAAATGATAAATATGAGTTTATTAAAACTTAGATCAATTATATGTAGACTAACTTAATTATGAAATAGATTAAACTAATTAAATACCCCTAATAAAGAACTCAAAACATAGTATATAAAACAAATTAAGTATAGTAATGAAAGTGCATTCGATTGAGATAACTAATCAAATAATTAGTCTGCATAACAAAATAAAATTATACTCCATAAATCATCATCCAAAGACTCAAAATATTCAAAAATTTCCAATTATGCCACTATCACATATAAAATTATCATCTAATTAAGTAAAAGTAAATT